GGCCACTTACATTTGAATGAATTAAAGTTAAAATTTTAGTTTCTCAGTTGCACTAGCCACATTTCAAAGGCTCAGTGGCTATATATAGTTAGTGACTTTGTCATTGGATAGCTCAGTTCTAGAGCCCAGAGAAGCAGTCTGGTTTGGAAATATAAAAATTGACACCATGTTTATACGAGATTTAAGACTGAGGATAAGATTGTCTAGGAAGAAGGCAGTCAGTGAAAAAAGAAAACAGCTAGGATTGAGCCTTGAGGACCTTCAACATGTAAAGGATGGTAAGGAGAAAGCAATCTTCAAAAGACACAGAGAACGGACTTCCCTGGCAGACCAGCGTTAAGAGTTTGCCTTCCAATGCAGGGGGTACTGGTTCGATTCCTGGTTGGGAAGTTAAGATCCCACATGCCCTGTGGCCAAAAATCCAAAATGTAAAACAGAAGCAATATTGTAACAAATTCAATAAAGACTTTAAAAAATGGTCCACATGAAGAAAAATCTAAAAACAAAACAAAACAAAAACAGAGAAGAAGCAGGGAAAGAATTAGGAGGAAGACCACGAGAACACTGTCCTAAAAGGCAAGGGAGAGGGGTATTTTGGGATTTCCCTGGTGGCTCAGCGGTTAAGAATCTGCCTGTGATGCAGAAATCACAGGAGACACAGGTTTGATCCCTGGGTCAGGAAGATCCCCTGGAGAAGAGAATGGCTACCACTCCAGTAATGGTCCCACAAGATACATGCAGACCACGGCTACATCTTCCACCTCCCTGACCACTCTCCTCCTTGCTCACTCAAGGCCAGGCACATTAGCCTTTGTTGCTGTTTCTTTAATTGCACACTCCTGCCTCAGGCTCTTTGTTCTTGCCATTTCCACTGCCTAGAGTCTAATTTTGTCCCTCACTTCACCCATCAGAGCCTTTTCTGACCACTCTATCCAAGAGACTTCACTCTCTTTTACCTAGCTGCTCCCCACCCCTGACCCAAAGCATTTATTATAACCTCATTCATTTACTGTCTAACTCCCTGACCTGAACACAAGCTTCATGATGGCAGAGTCTTTGTTTTGTAGGCTATTGTAGCTCTAGAGTCTAGAACAGTGCCTGGTAAAATACAGGCACACAGAGTATTTGTAAAGTGAATCCACAGGAACTTCCTTGGTGGTCCAGTGGCTAAGATTCTGTACTTCAAATGCAGGGGGCCTGGGTTTGATCCCTGGTCAGGGGAACTAGATTCCACATGCCACAGCTAAGAGTTTCTTTGCCTTCTGCCACTTAAGATCCTGCAAAGAAGATCAAGGGTCCTGAGTGCTGCAACTAAGATCCAGTGCAGCCAAAGAGAATAAATAATTTTCTTTTTTTTTAAAGAATAGAATCCACAGTAGGAGAGGGAAGGAGAGGAAGAATGCAGAGGAGGCCGCATAGGTTGGAGGTGGAGAAAATGATATTGCAGGATTGTAGTGCAAACCCCAATAGCCTCTATATCATTGGGTAAGGAAGATGGGAGTTCATCTCCTGGGGGTGAGGGGCAGGGATGCAAGGTTTGGGACACTGTGGGAAAGAAAGTAACATTGGGAGGAAGTTGGGAACACAAACATCTGAACTCAAGCCAAACAGGTAAATTAATTGTACTGTGCCTGGGGGTGAGGTGAGATCGGAAGAGAAGACAGCTGCTCCCCACCCAGGAAGTGGTGGATTTGATTTATCTTTCTCAGGGTTGAATGCAGAATTATCGAGTTGGGAGAACTGAGGGTAGGTTCTCCACGAATAAGCAGGTGAGAGTGGGCATGAAGAAAGAGATGGAAGGAAAAAAACAGCTTATCTGAGAGCTCAATATGATGGCACAGAATTTGAACGAATGAAACCAAAGCCCAGAGAAGGTTTCTTTGGTTTCATGCTTCTATGCTGAAAAAAAAAAAAAAAAAAAAGGAGGAAAGAAAGAAAACAAAACAAAACCCTCAACTAGAAACATACTTGCTCTTTGGCAGCGGAATTCTCAATTGGCTGGAAGTAGGTTTCGGGACACACTGCCAGGTGCTATCCCCTTTTCTTTCCCGTTCTTGGGAGAAACAAGCAGTGAAACAGCCTGTTTGTGGAAAAAAGGCAGTAAAGAAATAGACCCGGGCCATCGCATCCCAATTCTTCTCTCCTTTCTTCTACTTTGGTTATGATTTTATTAATAAGTCAGGGCTGCCAATGCTCCCTCTAAATATAATTTACTATTGTGTGTGACCAGTAACACACAATACTTTTTGGATATGAAGGAGAGATGTTTTCTCATTGTTGAGAATGGGAGGTTTAGTGATTGATACCCAGAATTCTTTTTCTGGATGACCTAGATCATGGTTGTTTCTGAGACTTTATTTATAGTTGTTTCTGATATTTCTTTGCATGCAAGAAAATAATGAAAGTCAGTGGAATATGAGATAGGTTTTTTGGTTATATAGTCCCTGCAGGTTGCCAAAAGGGAGTCTTGGTTCCCATAAATGTGCTAAAATCCAGGATTAGGCCTTTTTTAACTTAAGATTCTCAAATTTAACAATTACCTCTTCCTGCAACATGCTCCACTCAGGGTTTTCTTGGTCTCAGGGGGTAGCAATTTCCATTCTTTAGGACAAAAGCCTTGGACTTCTCTTTGACTTTTTACTCTCCTATTCCATATATATCTTGTCACAAAATTCTATGAGTTTGGCCTTCAAAATACATCCCACATCTGACCACTTTTCACCATGTTCACCATTACTGCCCAAGCCACTTTCATCTTTTTCTTGGATTATTGCAAGGTCTTCCTACAGGTTCTCTGCTAAACTTTCAGTCTGTTTACCACAATTAGTACAATTCCATTAAAACAGAAGTCAGATCATGGTAGCCATTGGTTAAAGTTTTTCCATGACTTCCCACTTCACTCAGAGTAAGAGCCAAAGTTCTTATAATGGCCCAAAAGGCTGTATATTATCTGGTTCCTTATTTAACTCTACCTCATCTTCTGCTTTTTTCCACCTCATCCAGTCTGCTCTAGCCATCCAGGCTTCCTTGAGGGTCCTGGAAACACCAAGTAGGCTCCCACCTCAAGGCCTTAGCACTGGCTGTTCCCTCTGCTTGGAAGCCTTCGTGAAGGCTGTAGTTCACTCCTTCAAGTCTGTGTTCACACATCATCTTTTCAGTGAGGGCTATCTCGACCACTTATTTAAAATTTCACCTGCATGCCTCTTCCCTTTAGCCCCTTAATTTTTGTCTTATAACTATATTGGGTTATTCTTTTTGGACTGGCTGAGAAAATTGGTGATTTATGTAAGTATTAATTATTAATATACTCAGCTACTGATTTTACTGTCCACCTAATTTTGTTGTCTTCATTAATGTATCCCTGTACTTAGAAGAATACTCAGCATGTATTAAGTATTAGACAAATATTTACTGAATGAAACGATGAATTTCCTTTACAATTTAGGACAATCCTCTTAAAGTAACTAGGCTTTAAACGAGAATTTTGGAGAATCTTTTATTCTAATTGAATTAGCCATAGTTTAATATATTAGTATTTCCAGATATGTAGCTGGGATAAGAAGGCTATGAGTGTGATGATGGAGATTCTGGTTAGGGATATATTGGACTATAAGACTCTTGAGAGTCCCTTGGACATCAAACCAGTCAATCCTAAAGGAAATCAACCCTGAGTATTCATTGGAAGGACACATGCTGAAGCTGAAGCTCCAATATTTTGGCCTGATGTGAAAAGTTGACTCATTGGAAAAGGCCATGATACTGGGAAAGATTGAAGGCAGGAGGAGAAGGGGGCAACAGAGGATGAGATGGTTGGATGGCATCATCGACTCAATGGATATGAGTTTGAGCAAACTCTGGGAGATGCTGAAGGACAGGGAAGCCTGGGGTGCTGCAACCCATGGCGTCCCACAGAATTGGACACGACTAAGCGACTGACCAACAATTTTGGACTAAGAAAGATCTGTCCATGCTTGAGGTTAGGTGAATCCAGGTGCTTTATTCCACTTAATCTCACTCACAAGGACAATTTAAACAGAACTACAGTTTCCTGTAGTTAGGGTTCCAGGAATCTGTGTCCTTGGAAGGTGGAAGAAGGTGCCTAAAACAGCTCTGCTCCTCTTTCAAAATGAGCCACTGCTATTCTCCTAGACCTTCACCTAGCTCCTTGCAAAGGGAGCAGTGTATGTGGCCATTCCCGAGACTGTCCTGAGGGTGTAACAAGCACCCTTCAGAGAGGAAATCCAGGACTTTCTAGGGCAGCAGAAAGAGAAGCTCCTCGGAAAGCTGCTTTATGCACTTCAAATTTTTTTTGGTTTTATTTACTTATTTTTATCGTGGTAAAACAAACAAAACTGATCATTTTAGTTATTTTTAAATGTTCAGGGTTTTGTTGTTTGTTTTCAGTTACAGAAAGTCACACAGAGTTCTAAACCAGAGTTTGGGCGATGAGGAAGAGAGGGAAGGCGACAGCCCGAGGACTCCTCCACCAGGAACTCTCGGAATGCGAGGCCGGCTGATACGGCCCCGCCGATCTCCATCTTGCTGGGACCGGGCCGTCGCCGGAGCCTCCAGGGACATTGGCCGCTCCAGCCCCGCGGCTGGGTCCTCCCAGGAGGTACGGTCGCCTGGCTCCGGCCGAGCCCGGCGGCGGTGCCGCGGGCAGGAACCTTCCAGGTGCCGAGTTTCCGCCCAGGATTCAGCCCCTACTGCCTTCGCTTTTCCCCCACCCCAACTCAGTTCGAAACTGCGGGGACGTGACGGCCGCAGACCTGGGGCTCGTCCGGCGCTTTCCTTATTTTGTCTTCCAGAGGCGGCCTCACAGTCCCCGGCTCCGCCTGCAGGCGCGCGCGCGCGCTCCGGTGGCTCCGCCGCGCGCGCCCCCGGCAACTTGTCATCCCGAAGGCAAATAAAGGCGGCGCGGCCCCGCCGCCCTGGGCGCGCGCCCGCTCCCTGGCCTCCCTCCCGCCACGGGGGGCGGAGCCGGCGCGGGCTCGGCGGGGGCCAGGCCCGGGGATTAGTTGGTTTCGGAGCCGAGGAGGGAGCCCGGGCCGTGGCGAGCGCCGAGCAGACAAAGCCACGTACGGGGGGGCCCGGCCGGAGGTGGGCTCGGGGCTCGGTGGCGCCCCAGCCCGCACTGAGAGCTCTGGGGATCCGCACGCCGCCCCGCCACCCGCCGCCTCTTTGCAACAGGTCCGCCGCCTCCGGGCGGCCTCCCTCTGCGCTCCCCTCCCCCGTGCCGTGCGACCCCCCCCACCCCGGGGCGCCTCCGCTTGGCTCCGGGCCGTCATCTCGCCACCAGCTTCGATGCGGTTCGGGTCCAAAATGATGCCGGTAAGCGGACGGGCGGTAGGGGCCGGGACCGGAAGTGTGCGGGGTCGCGGGCAGGGGTCTGGTGCGCGCCTTCATGCGGGTCCTAAGCAGAGCCGGGGGATGGAGGCGGCGGGGGGCTGAGTCCGCGTCGCGGGTGGTCCATGCATAGCTCACCTCCCGCGAGCGGCTCCATCCTCCAGACTCCCCACCCCAAGCTCCCGCGTGCGGGAGCGGGGAGACCCTCACCGCGGGGAGGGATTCCAGCAACTGCTCCCGAGTCGCTGCGGCAATCTAAACTTTTCTTTTTCACTCTGGCTGGGTCCTGACTTTTTTTTTGCAGTTCCTGAAGGTCAAGAACAAGGGAACCGGGAATCTTATTTGCTTTGTCTTAAAAAACAAAACAAAACAAAACCAAAAAACAACTTCAAGTTGGCGTGAAATACACATACAGAAAAGCGTACCTTTGTTTTTAGTTGAATTTCGATCTTGATATCGGTGATGGCCAACTCACTCTTTTTATTTGGAAACTGATTTGAATAAATGCAGCCTCAAAGTTTTTGATCGCAGTAAAGACGCATTTGCCTGGCTCCCACCGTTTCCACAGTTTGTTTGGCGAGTCCTCGGAGAGGGTTAGTGAGTTCTTTATAGACTCCGTAGGCTTTCGACGTGTACACCAGGCCACTCAGGTGAACAGCAGGTTTGAGACATTTGAAATGCCCATTTTCTTCAACGGTCGCAGAAGCTGGAGGGTTGCAGTGGCTTATGCAGATTTCAGTAGTGTTTCCTCTAGCAAATTGTATGTACTTTACACTTCTGCCACTGAAGCAGGATTATCTTGCAGTCGAGCGATGTTTTCTTATGGCTTCATTTGTGGAAACAAAGAAACAACTTTTCTTTTACTTTTATAGAGTCTGTGGAATGAGTGACGACAAATTTTGTGTATATGCAGTCACAGATGCAGAATATACTACCTTCTGACTCCCTAGCTTGTGTTGTGGGAGGAATTCTTAAACCTTCACATACCTGATACATTTGATTTATTGTTTTTGATAATTGAGTTTAGATGGTTTGGGATATTTTGTCCTGCCAGGATTCAGAGAATTTGAAAGTGTTAATAGCATTATGTGTCCTTTTTTAGTTTGATACCTGGTTATGAAGTTAGGTTTGTGACATGAATGACCAATATTTAAAATATGGAGAAGGGTGAGGGATTTTGTCATTAAAATGTTTTATTCCTTGGATTTACATTTCTTGGCCTAAAAATAACTTTTGCAGTTTGTGAATTTTTCCTTAAAATAGGAGCAAGACAAGTGTTAGTTGTTGCGATATGATTTCTTTCTTAAAGATAAGTTGTATGTTAAGGTATTCTTCGGCCTTTCTTAATGCTTATGAAAGTTTTCCTTCTCCCAACTACATACCAGACCATCACAATGTATAGAAAGTTATATAGCTCTTTAGGCTATTGCCTTTCCTAAGGTCAATAGTGTCTTTTAAAAAAAGATTTATCTGCTTTAGACTGTGCCGGGTCTTCCTTGCTGCCCGTGGACTTTGTCTAATTGCTGGGAGCGAGGACCACTCTTCGTTGTGGTGCATAGGCTTCTCATTGCAGTGGCTTCTCTTGTTGTGGAGCACAGGCTCTACAGTGCTGCCTCAGTAGTTGTGGCACATGGATTTTGCTGCTCCTTGGCATGTGGGATCTTCCTGGACCAGGGATCGAACCCTTGGCCCCTGAATGGCAGGCAGATTCTTAACCGTTGGACCACCAAGGAAACTCTGTCAGTAGAATCTAACAGGACTCATTATGATGTGGTGGCTGGCATTTGCTCAGCTCCTACCTTTGTGACCATAGCCTTTTTTCTTTTTTAGTGATTTGTTTCACCATCTGTAAAAGGGGGATTTTAGTAGTAGTACCTAGCTTTAGGATGGTTGTGAAGATTAGAGTTATTGTTTATGAAACAGTTAGTGCCTCCTTGCCTCTCTTGGGATAGTTGCTAGGTAAGAACTTCTCCTGAATTTGCAGTATTGGTTAGGTTAAACTGGAGATTCTTATACTTGCAACGCATAAAAAATATGAAACAAAATTTCACTTATTAACCTTATGATATATCTTTATCCTGTAATATTTGGGATATTTGAAAATAAGACTTTTCTTAACTATATCTCTTCTCTTAGCTTTTAATATGTATTTTTATTCCATCATCAAGTGAGGTTTTGAATTTATTACTTTGAAAAACTCTTAACCAATTTATCAGAAAAAACACTTTGCTTAATAGGGAAAAATGGATAGTCTCAGAATGTGGACAATTACCCTGATATGCTTTCTTGTTGGGGTGAAATGTACATGACATAAAAATGACAGTTTTAACCATTTTTAAATGTACAGTTCTGTGACATTAAGAATACATTTTAAAAATTGCTTTTACAGGAATACTGGAGATAACAACTTACTATTTAGACTGCATTATATTAAAGTTGTGCAAATAAATTGTGTTCATGTGTTTTCTCACCAAATGGTAGAGAATCAAGTGAATTTCTTTCATGTGGGACATGAAGTGATAATTGGATCCCAAACAAGAAGGGGATGATGCATTTTAGTAGGCTAACTAAAAATAAGTAGGCAAGTGCCGAGAATCACAGTAGAGATAATGATAGGGTACTGCAGAAAAGGGTGTAATAATTACACTCATTTTCAGATACCTGCCATAGTTGGTATGTCTGGTTATGTGATATTTCCACAACTTGGTGAGGAGAAACTGATTACTCCTTCTTACTTGACACCGTATCTTCTTCTTCATTAAAGAAACAGTCATTTGTAGTTTGACAGTATGACTGTTTAATGAGCCATTCTCATGTATTTATCAACTAAAGGGAAATCATCATTAAAAACAACATTTCTCAGCTGTTTAAACTTTTCATTTTGTGAAGCATTGTATTCAGACAAGAATATTTTTATGAAAGAGCTTAGCTAACTCTAAAAGCATTCACTGTTCTTTTTAGATACAGTTTTATAAAAATTTCTGTTTGTACCTGCTGCTGAAAGGTAAATGAAAAAAACCTGCTCACAAAACCACACACAGTGTTCCACAGTGCCATGTAGAAGGCTAGAGGACTTGAATTTGCCTGTCTCAGTGGTTGATGTCATAGATGTGGCATTTATATTCAGCTGTGATAGAAAGTGAACTGTATCTGTGCTGTCCAGTGTGGTAGCCACCAGCCACCTGCAGCTACTGCACTTAAAATGGGACTAATGAGACCAAGGAATTGAATTTTTAAAAAAAATTTAATTTTAATTACATCTAAATAGCCACATATGCCTGGTGGCCACTGACTGTATTGACAGGGCAGTCAGTTTGATGAAGGGGCACAAAGGAGCATTTTACATTTGGATCCCATATTTGCAGCTTCACATTAACATTGATACTTTAAATGAAATTGTAATGGGTCGTTTATCCCTAATGACTTGGAGAATGGGTTTTCCGATTATTTAATTTAGTGTTCTGTTTAAATGAATTTCATCACATAGCCCTAATATGGATAAAATTTTTGAGAAAATAATAGCTTATTTTAAAGAGCTCAGTTGAACTAATCATGATTTATTTTTAGGTTTATGGCATTTTATCTTTTGATGCTACAGAGGTATCATAATTAACACCTAGCTATTTCATTACGCTGTGAAATATCATCTGATTATTGGAACTTATAATTTTGGAAGTCTGGGACCAAAAAAATGGGATATTGCAGTAGCTCCTTTAGAAGTCTGATTCTTGGTCAGTCGGATTTATGTATTTCTAAAGGCAGCTTAGTCAGTCCCCTAGCATGAGAGCTTAACTTCTGCTGAAATACTTGCATTTTCATGTTTTAAAGTATTATTTGTATTATATATTGGTTTTATTTGCACATACATTCCCAAACTGAAATTGTGTTTTAAAATGACAAACCTTTCAAGTTATAGCATCAGAACATTGTATTATTATGATTATACCATGTTCTGAAAGAATTCCTGTTGTTGGGAAGTAATGTAGTCCGTTAGCTTAGGTTTTATTGCAGAGTAAAGTTTAAGGTAGGTTCTCTGTAGAATTATAATTCTCAAAGGTTGTTGAACCAATCATCTATTTAAAAGAAGATGTGCAAAGTATCTCACATTTTCTTTGCTGTAGTGAAATTTGTTTCTTGTGACTTCTGCTACACTAATTACAAGCTGAAAAGTATTTAACAATTTCTGTATTTTTACCTGTTTCAGAGAAACTGGATTTAGACTTTATAAAGAACTGTAGCACAGTCATACACCTGCTTATATCTTAAAAATTAACTTAGAATTTATCTGAGAGGGACACAGAGGGTCATTTATTCATACACTGCTTCTAGGAAGAACTGTTTTCTCTCCCTCTTCATGTTCCCTGCCCCCCCAGCAGCAGATGGTAAAAACAAGAAAACAAAACCTCTTTTCTGGAGCTTTTAAGGAACACTGTAGACCTTTATCTCTTGGTAATCTACCATAGTGTGTGAGACTTCTTAAAAAGTCTTTCTAAAGTGAACTTAACACTGAGCCATTCTTGCAGCTCATGTGAGGTCCAGCCTCTTTCTAGTTCATATAGGGTAACAGTGTACCAATACATCTTGGTTTGATTTCCATCATGTACCATAAACCTCTGAATCAACCTGAATATTCATTGGAAGGACTGATGGTGAATCTCCAATACTTTGGTCACCTGATGTGAAGAGCCGACTCATTGGAAAAGACCCTGATGCTGGGAAAGATTGAGGGCAGGAGAAGGGGACAGCAGAGGGTGAGATGGTTGGATGGCATCATTGACTGAATGGACCTGAGTTTGAGCAAGCTCTGGGAGATAGTGAAGGACAGGGAAGCCTGGCATGCTGCAGTCCTTAGGGTCGCAGAGTTAGACACAACTGAGCGATTTAACAACAGTACCACTGTAAACCTCTCACCAACCCTTTCTCCTTACAAGTACTGCAAAGAACATGAAGAATGGGATAGAAGAATTCAGGAATCCAGAGTGTTC